CTCAAGACCTGGAATGACACATCATCAACTCCATAAGCTACCTAATGAACTCCAAACCTCACGGGATCACGCCGCATAACGGCATGCCTTATCCTCTCCATGCCCGGATTGGGCGGAGACGACAAACTCCTTAACTGATATGTTACTCCTCGACTAAAGTGAAAATTGATCTCATCTACTCAGGCTGAAGATCTCGGAACCATTTCATAAGACCCACAATGACTCAGCTATATAAGGTTAACAACCCCTCTAAAGCCCAAGTATATGCGATTGTTTACATTTAAGCATCGGATCGATATCCCTGGGTCTTCCACCTCGATCTCTCTAATCTCTGTTTCACAAATTGATCCAACTCAACACGCGAAGCACGTCCATACAACCTCCAGTTAAAAACTTCTAAATCGCGCATCATCAACTTTGTTTCCCACAAAATCAAATACCATGAATTCCAGGTACTTTTCATCAAACAATAAGCTAAGCTCCTTTCAATGTTTTGACTTGTAAACATCTTTTTAAGAGAGTCCTTATTAAATCATCATTATGACAAAGGTAGAATGGGCCCAGCAATCAGGGACACCGACCAATCAGTGAAAGACCCTGAAATCAGAATCTTTGTAAAAGGCTATAATCATTTGATATATGCTTTCTAATGAAGTACCCATCAAATGTTAGCCCATACCAACTCCCGTTACACTATTGTATAATATATACTACAAAGCTAAACACATGCTAAGCACATGCCAATTAATTCAGATATTTTTACAAGGAAAAGATCCTAAAGTTTTGTCCAATGGGGGCCCAAAATCATGTGTCAATGAGGCCCAAAAAGGGTTGATGTGTCACATAATGTCACAACACAATATATAAACATTCCTCATGCACATGTGTTGCATGTTATCCTTAATGATAAAAGGAAGATGTCGCTCTGTAAACACTACAACTCCACATTCCTTTGCAGATGGATGGATATCTTGGGTTATAAGAAAATGGCTTTAGCAATAAAATACTAAAAAAAAAAACAATAAATTTGAATTAAAAAAATGGAGTGGGCTTTGGGCCCATCCGAGGCTCACCAAATGTATGAGTATGAATAAGGGATTGCCACCTGCACATGAAGAAAAAGTGAACTAGCACATGAGCTCATCTTCCCCTGTGTAAGAAGACCAGCAAGGAAGCTGCAGCGAGACGAATGTTGTTCCATTTCAACTACTCCCTTTGCTTTAACATTAACATGTTTCCCGTTTTCTTCTTGGACCAACAGAATATTTGTGTAAGGGGGCTGACTATTTGAATCGATTCCTTCGAATGTGAAAATAGTCGTTTGCGTTTTAATCATGAAAAAGCTCTTATTGGTGGCTGTTAGATGTAGATGTAGTAGAGAAGCAGAAGAGAGGAAGAGATAAATCAACCAAAATTTATCTTTGCACACGGATAACCTTTAACTTTAAGCTGTGTTTGGTTTGAAATAAAAGGTAGGAAAACCTATACAAAACTTGTACAGGTTTTTCTACCTTTCCTTGCAAAGCAAACACATCCTTATGATATCGTAGGAAGATGGTGCTTACGAGCTTGGATTGGATCTGCAACCTATAAAACCAACATGGGCTTTCCGAACGTCCAAACCACTGCTCAAATATAAAACTACTTTCTTCAGAATACCCAGTGCTCAACCATCACATCACAGCTCAATTAATACAACATACCCCAAATGCAGAAGCCCTCCCACTCCCAAATGGATTCTAAAACAAGCTTCATTGGAGGGCTTCAGTTTAATTTGCTTGAGAGTTGCTTTAATTTCACGGATCCACTTTAAGGAAGCCACTAAAACAAGCCAATTTTCTAGTTGAGTGATGGCATACTTGGACTTTCTGGGCTTTTCAGTTTTCACTAAACTTAGCTTCTAGCAGTCTATGTGAGGCTCATCTTACAACGCCATAAACCGCTGTGTGAAGGGTCATGTTTAGCCTTAGATTTGATTTGGTTCAACCTGAACCAACACAATGTGGCTCAAACTTAAACCAATCCATCCCATGTAATACATCTAGAGTCAAGGTACAAATATTTCAACAATGTCACTGGGTCAGGTTCAGCACCTCTTCACGTCAACCTGAACCGACCCAAAACCTGATTTAAGGCCAACCCGATTAGCCTTAAACCCATGACCAACACTGGATTGACCAAAATATCCCCAGTGTACTGTCATTTTCGGTGATGGTTGGTTGATGAAGATGCCATTTTACCGAGAGGAGTGGCACTATTATGGGCCTCCTTAGTGGTGGATTAATTACTCTGTAATTGAGATGGTTATTTGGTATCCCTCGAAATATGGAGGCATACACGTGCACCTTGCCCTGTCCCCACCTCTTACAGTCTTATTCTGAGAAGGGACCTGTTACTAATAAAATTTTCCCAACAGGTTACTGAGCCGCATATGGGGAACTTTTCCTTTCTCATTGATATACAATTATAATGATTTGTTAGGACAGTGTTGAGCGTTTATTGGTAACAGATCTGAAATTCTGAACCCAATGGATGATATACTTAGATTTACTTTTTAATTTTTAATTTCAAGAATTGAATCAAATCATTTCTTGGAAAGGTATTACTATTACCCTCCAAAAGTAGCCACATGTCTTAACTCTTAATATTCAATAGATTCAAAAACCAATACGTATTGTACAATAGGCACCAATACTAATCAACATTAAACATTGCATATGAATCCATTAATTAAATGTGGTCATGTAATCACATAAAGTAAATAGATATAGATATGGTTGTGGGAAGATGGGTTCATAGAGAACGAGCCACATACATAATTTATTAATCACTCTTTCTGCCCCAGCTTCATTATTCTTGCCGACCATTACCATTAGATGGAATTCCCAAACAACCCCTAAGACCTAGGTCACATCTGCATTTTACTTTCTTCTCCATGGTCCACACTTATTAAATGGGAGTAGAGAATCAGAGAATCAACACTCACTTTCCCATGGGGCAGCCAAATAAGACCAAAATTGACTGATAGTAAAGTGGGTACTAACTTGATCGACCACATCAGACTAATTTGTGGTCGATGCAACCACAACTCCCCAAGAGAAAGAGTACAAATCCCTCTCTCAGCAAAGCCTTTGTATGTACCCAGCCTCAACTCTCTATCCTACTTTCTTATATCTAACAATTAACAAGCACGGGCAATCCGAACCACGGAGTAGGTTTTCTTTATTTGTAGTTAAGCTAGGGATGTTTGTTTATTTTATTCAGAAAATGCTATATTAAGCTAGGAATATAATCAAGTTAGATGACCCCATGTCTTCTTTTTTTTTTTAATTTATAGATCCAATTATTTAAATTAATGAAAGAGATTGTAGAACACTTGTTTGGGTCCCAAAATTGCCCCTACTCCCAGTTCAATTCAAAGAAAGAAAAAGTATAGAAAAAAATTCATAGTAAATAGGAAAAACAGGGCATATATTGTAAGGTGGGTCATATAGTTAACCCAAATTGTGGGTATTAAAAAAGGTGGGCTAGAAAGGCTAGAAGCTAATCAACCCTCTACATGCTATAAAGGTTTCCCATACAGAGAAGAAACCTCTTTAAACAAAATCACCCATTTCTACCACCTTGAGTGTCGGTGAAGCTGATAAAAGGAAAGAGAGGAAAACCATGAGCACTGGTGTCAAGGTTTTACTTTACATGGGTTACTAAGAATTGATGTGCCCCATTCAAATTTGTGACAATTATTGATACTAAGACCTAATTTTAATCACAATTCTTATGTGAATTACTACTCCCATGTACCAAAGCTGAACACCTTAACATCTCTCTGATCAATTCAACCCCATGGTGATGATGATGTTTTTGATAGATTTTATTTCATTTCTTAAGCTAAAAATATATTCAGCTAATTTTTTTTTATCCTTTCTTTGATCAAGGATTTCCATTAGTTTTCTATTTCAGGATATTTTTCTGTAAGATCCAATTAATATACACATAGCCAAGAGACAATCATGTTACCATTGCACCAAACGAATCAATAATATTGATTTCTAAGTTTGTGATTTATTCCAAACTTGCCAATGCCTCATTGAAAAGGTGTTTGTTGAGGGAGATTTTCTTTTTGTTTTTTATGGTTTATTTTATTTTATTTTTTTTGCAAGTTTTTTAACATGACCAGACTTTAGAAAATGGCAATTATATTCCCTAGTACCTGCAACTGATTTGCATATAGCTTCTCTATTGGCCATTGTCAAATGGGTGTATGCTACTAAAAATATTTCTATCTACACACATACCATTAAAATAAGAACAATATGAAGGGAGAAAAAAGAAGAAAGTGAAAATATTTAAAAGGGGTGGTGAATATGGTGATTGGGTCACATCCCTTTTTTATTAATGTGACACAAATTAATTCCCAAAAGTACTTTATTGAAAAGACAGAGTCTCTGATGTGGTTGTGGCGTAGACGCCTAGTTTATTATAATAAGTATTTGATGTGCCCAAATCAACTCCCTCTAGAAACAGCATCGATAAGTTCTTCTTATGCTTTCGACTTTAAAGTACTTTTCGTGCTAATCAAAATTCAACCTGGAGATCTCTGCTTTGGCTCAGAGCTTAGACTTCGGGATCAAATCTCGCTGCCAACATCCGTTGGGGTTAAGGGGATGGGAAGACACCCCATTCTGTAGCTCCACCAACCGGGGAGAAAAAAATCAACCTGGAGAAGAAAAATTTTGTAGCAAAAAAGGTAATGAAGCAAAATCACTTTACACCAAAGAAATTTTTTTCCTCACTTTTGTATACAAATAGGACCATTTCATTTGGGAGTTGGGACGATTTTTTTTTGATAAGTGATCACTCGTGGCTATACGATTTGATCATGTAATCGCGGGGGTTTCTTTAAAGTAAAATGGCCAAAATACCCCTGTACAGTTGGACAATTATTGTAAAAGTTTGCTGACTCGGTAATCGTGCTTGTTTGTCATTTTTATAGAAAATTGGGGGTGTTTATGTAAAATGAAGCAATCTAATCTAACCTCCCACTACCATAAATATGAGAAGATAAGAACAAAACTTCCACCCAAACGGAAAGTAGAAACCACCACTGTCGCTGTTCGCATGCCCGCTCGTCGAAACCGTTGAAAAGGCCGGTTATGACTGTTACTTAACGCCACACTCGCGTTCCTCTCCAGTCTCCACCCAACATCTCTCTCTCTCTCTTGTTCGTTTGCTCGCTTAAACTCTATTTTAACATTTCGAACGCCAGATTTTTCTCCAAGCCATCTCTGCTATCTCCCTCTTTTGTCTCGGTACCGTGCTTGTGAAGAGAGGTCATGGAGTCGGAGAGCCAGTTCTCCGGTGACGATTCCAGCCGCAACCTCGGTGCAAGTACTGTCAGGAAATCGGCCATCGTGAAACAGACAATTGAACTCATCCAGTCCGAGGATACAGAATCCAAAATTCAAGCGGCCAGAGAAATACGACGTCTCACCAAGACGTCTCAGAAGCACCGACGGCAGTTTTCTGGCGCAATTGAACCCCTTCTTTCCATGCTAAAATCTGACTCCCTCGAATGTAAAGAAGCTTCTCTTCTCGCCCTACTCAATCTCGCCGTCAAAGATGAGAGGTACATTGTTATTTCGTTATTTTTATCTTGTTTTCATCTTTGCAATCGTGTGATTGTTCTGTTTAAATTATGGATTGAATTTATTGGAATTCTAAGTATTTGTCAGTAATTCCATTAGTTTGAATTGTTTAAATCGAAAAACTGATGCTTTGTTGGTTAAGTAATGAGATTCCATGCCACCTAAGTGACTGTTCTTTGGTTCCGGTGCTACGCTTCGTTTTAACCTTTCCCCTTTTTCTTTTTCTCTTATTCTTTCTCTTTCCCCTGAATTTATCTTGTCGAATTGATTTCTTTAACTTTCGAGGCTTATCTTATAGTACGGAACAAAAAGTTAAGGATTTTTGGGATTTGCTAATTTCTTGAATTGGGTTATTCTAATCATGTCTGTTTGTTTAGAAGAAGCAAGTGGGAAGGAAGTAGGGAGTTATAAGAAATGTGTATAATTATGCAATTTGAATTATATGTGAAGGCAATTGTTTCTTCATCTTATTGCCATTTTTGGCTTAGCTATTGTATCCTTTTGCTCTTTCTCTGTTCTTTGGGGAGTGGTGCAGCGAAGCCCATACTCATACTCGTAATTTTAGGAAATCCATGAAGCTTCCCTTTTATTCATGAGAACAAATGGTATTTCTAGCTAATTGTGTTATTAGTGCACTTCTATAAACCGCCAACTGAAGGTGATAACTCTTCCTATATGTGAATCCAAGTCCCTTCCAAGGGAAATAGAAAGCTGTGTCGTACTTATCTGTGTCTAGCCTTCAACATATCCATAAATCAGATAAGACCTTATTATTGTATTTTCCTGCAGATGAGGAGGCTATTATAGTATGAAGGGACTGCAAAGTCATCTTTCTAGGTGATTGATTTATGTTGTGGAATTGGTTCATCATATTAATTTGGCAAGAACATTGGCTGCATAGGTTACATTCTAAGTTCAGTTGGCACCAATTTATGTGTACCAAGTTCTTGTGGTCAACACACAACCACTAATATTCGGAGACCATTTCAAGAAAAGAAACGGAAAGGAAATACTAAGATTGCTTATTTTTTCTCTCTACTATAGATGAGTAGGCAGTTGGTCTTTTATTTATATTTAGTTGGAATGGTGTACCTTAAGGCAAAGGTATAAATATGTGTTTGGATGACCTTAAGAGTTAAGGTTTGCTATCATCATCAAAGTGGTCCAATCGACCATGTTCATTAATCAAAAGCTACTTTGCTCAAAAGTTGAAAACGGTTTTGTGTTGCTTAAGTCAACGTTGTTTTCATGAATATGATGTAAAAATGTTCTAAGAGTTGTAATTTGCTTGACTCTGATATGGACCGTGATCAGATTTTAGGTTTAATATCAAGGAGGGCTTAGAGCAGTGGATCTCCTGTAGTTTTGGTTCTCTCTAATTCCATTCCTGTTTGTGTTCTTGTCATTTTAGCTACATTTTCTCCTTTGTCCATTTCATATTTCTTCTTGATGTCTGTTTCCTTTCTGGTAAAGCATATGTCTAACCTGGGTAATAAATTAGTTGACGAAACAATCTGCATAAGAGGACTATTCCATCATGTCTTCAGGGAAATATGCTTTTTTTACAGTATCTCTCCTCGTAATATTCAATATCAGAAAGTTCCTTATATACATATGTTTAGGAAATGTCTGGGAATGACTTTGGTGAGAATTCTTAGTGCAATCTTAATTAATGCATTTTTAATCAAATGTAAAATAAAAAATAATCAGTCTCAAAATTTCCTAGGGCATCATTTTTTGTTTCATTCTCAAGTCCAATTGTTTTTCTGTTGCATGTAACCAATGTAACAATTACAATTCACATACTGCTATTGGGCTATAATGATTAAGGAAAAATGAGAATCTTTGTTTATATGCTAACCATTTATTTTGAGCTCCATTTGTTATCGTTGGCTGCATAAGAAAGCAATGGCCCAATGAACTCTTCCTCTTTTATGAACTGGAGTCTAAATAGTTTTAAAAAGTCCTGTTAACATGGTCAAATACTTGTATCTTTCCTAAATTGGTTTAACATAGTGCAAACCTTTAGCAAGAAATTCACAATTTCTTATGACAGAAAATCTTCCATTAGGGTGGAGAAAGGTTTATGGATTAGAATGGATGGTTAGAATATCAGTAATAAAGTTTCCATGCAGAAGTTTACTAATTTTTCCATATGATTATTTTTGGAAGGGGTGAATATGATACTTGGTTAATGCCTTATCCTACCAACTGATGTTTATTTGTTCAGTAGCCCACCCAAACACACAATTTCCTGTTTAGATGGTTTAGGTTAAGGCTGCAGGTTGAAGCTGGAAGAACCATACATCAATTAATAGATTATCATTTATTGGTTCTTTGGAATATAGATTGGATTGCTATTGTTTAAGGGTTCTTTGCTCCTTTTAATGTGTTAGATGATATTCTTTTTCAGTACAGTGGTAGCCTTTGTCTCATTGGAACACAATCATATCTTCCTTGACGTTTCTCTCTACCCAATGTGATTTTCTTCTTTATATTACAGGAATAAGATCAAGATTGTAGATGCTGGTGCCCTTGAACCACTAGTCCTTCTTCTTCAGTCAAACAATTCAAATTTACGGGAGTATGCCACTGCAGCTTTGCTCACCCTCTCTGCGTCTGCCATCAACAAGCCAACAATAAGTTGTTCTGGCGTCATTCCTCTCCTAGTTGAAATCCTTAGAGATGCAGGCCAACAAGCCAAGATTGATGCATTGATGGCCATTTACAATCTCTCCACTCACCCAGGGAATCTCAGCATTATTCTTTCAGAAAAGGTCATCCCTCCTCTTGTTAACTTGCTTAAGAACTGCAAGAAATCTTCAAAAACAGCTGAGAAGTGCAGTGCACTTTTAGAGTCTTTGATGGGTTTTGATGAAGGGAGAACTGCATTGACATCTGAAGAAGGTGGAGTGCTTGCAGTTGTTGAAGTTCTCGAGAATGGATCTTTCCAAAGCCGAGAACATGCAGTTGGTGCTCTTCTGACAATGTGTGAGAGTGACAGATGCAGATATAGGGAGCCAATTCTTAGTGAAGGCGTCATCCCTGGTCTCCTTGAACTCACTGTTCAGGGAACACCAAAGTCTAAGTCAAAAGCACATACCCTGTTGCAGTTACTGAGAGAGTCCCCTTACAGGAGATCTGAACTTCAACCTGACACACTAGAGAATATTGTTTGCAATATCGTCTCTCAGATTGATGGTGAAGATTTAAGTGGGAAAGCGAAGAAGATGCTGGCAGAAATGGTGCAAGTTAGCATGGAACAGAGCTTGAGACATTTACAGCAGAGGGCATTGGTGTGTACCCCCTCTGATCTGCCTGTAGCTAATTGTACCTCCAAAGTTTCATCAAAATGATTGTTTTTGTTGTCACCTGTGTGGTTTTTCTACAGTGGAAAATATTTCTTTTTCCATAGTGAAGAAATAAGATAGCAAATATGCCAGTCCAGGCCATGGTGGTATCTAGTGACTGGTAATTGTCAATATATAGGGATTACCTGGGTATTTTCTTCTTTTGTAAAACAATAGCTGTTGTATTAAATGTTTTACAAATGGTAAAAGGTCTACTGTTTACTCTTTTGAATTCTATCACTACTTTGTCCTCTTCATGATCCCAAGCATCCAGCCAATGAGCTAATTTTGTTCAACATTATTGATCCAGTTCGTTGCTTTACATCAAAGCCATGGTCACTTAGAGGCAGAGCAGTTATCCTCTCATATGGAGAAGGTTCTTTACATGCACATTGTATCATCAAGCAACCGGGGAACACAACAGTTTAGATGTGAACCTGATATGATAAGCTTACGGTATCTTTGCCCCAAGGAGAATGAACACTAATACCATCAGTATCTTCTTTTCACAGTTGAGATTTCATGTTAATGTGGGTTCTGATGGAAAATGACTTGGATATAAGAATGCCACTCTGGAGTAGTAGCCATGAAAGATCACTTTATTTGGATACTTGGAACCTTTGTTGCTCAAGTACTTACAGTTCGTTTGATTTCTATACTTTTTCTATTTTCTTCAGGGAGTTTAATTTTTATTACTGAGGAAAGAGTATCACATGTACAACTGTGACCAAGTACAATGAGATGTTGTGCAGCACTATGGTTGTAATGTCACCACTCACCAGTATCATAGAATTATCAGCAATGCTCAAAAATAACTTGAAAATCTAGAGTGAAGAAAAAGAGACATCTCTGAAGAGAGCTTTATAACTGCCATCCAAGACCAAAGAATGCCAATTATCTTGTTTTTTAGGGCATCTACTGAGCTAGTCTTGTCTTTGAATATCTTACCTCTGTGCAATCTTCTCATTCCATTATCACCCAAATGATTGCAGCCAGTGTGGAAGACCATAATAATCTGCCTCTTTTTCTCAATCCAGACTAGTGCCAGCACCATACCATAAGAATCTGAATAAGAGTCTCTGGGGAGCTCCAAGTAAGGTGAAATATCTTAAAGATATAATGTCATAATCCAAGTCATGATGATAGGTCAAGGTGATCCATTTTGTTAGGCCTTTTTCTGGGTTTGGTTCTGCATATAGCTTCGCAAGCTGAGCTTGGTAGGGTTACATATGTTGCAAGAAATGTCAACTAAAGTTCACAATGGTCTTGACTCTTCACCAACTTCTTGTGCATATTCTAGCACCCAATGATCCCAATCCCATTAAAATCTTGTTTCTGGTTAATATAGTTATATGCTCATTCTATTCAAACAAAAACTTTTAGGCTCCATTTGGGAAGAATGCAAATAAAGTACAAATATAAATATGTAGAGTGCAGTCTGGTCCATGCAAATGCAAAGTTTGTTTAGTTTTGCATTAATAAATTATTTTCTTGCCAAACGATTTTTAGTTGTAATGGGTGCAAACAGGAATCCAGAGGTCGAAATTTAATTTCTTTTGTTTGTCTGAGAGGAGTGAAATGGGAGGTAAAATGATGTTGTCCCTAATTTATATGAGAGAAGATGAAAAGAGGAAGTTGGTGGTTTTGAAGAAGTAAAATTACTTTGATCCGCACTTCGTAGGAGAGAGAAAAAAATGTAGGTAGGCGAAAGGTGGTACAAAATTCACAGAAGTTTCTGGGATGTAAATTCCGCACTGCTGATGAATGCAAATGAAACAAAAAATAGTACAAGTTTTGTCATAGACATGGGGAAAATCAATAGGAAAATAATATTTTCCTAATTTCAAGTGCAACGTTTAACATATTGACATCTATGCATACCAAACGTCACCTCTTCTTTCTGAAAAAGAAACAGAGGAAAAAATATGAAAACCAGTTGAATCAACCAACAAAGAAACAAAAGAGCCAAAAGTCTCCGGTGCAAACTAGAAACAGGTGAAACCCTTTAAATCCATACCTGATCTCTCTGTATGAATCATAGAGTTTTTTGGGGGGTTTATCTGAGTGCAGAAAATGGATTTTATTTACTGTTTAGTAAAGACTCCATTTATCATCAATATCTCTGCCGCTGTTAATTAATGATTCACAAAACTTGAGTCAATATGAACTGGAGCTACCCGATGCAAAACAGTTTTTTTCTTTTTTTTTTGCTTAATTTTTTTATTTTTTATTTTGGGTAATAAACGTAACTTGTAATAAGAACCCAATGGATATTCTAATGGTTAATACATGCAACTCATAATGTCTGAGCTAAAATCAAGGAGTGTAGCTCAGTCCAACAAAATAAGTGGCTGAGGTCAATTAGATTAGTTATGTTCTTCAATATGTACAAGCATCAAGTTTCATGAATAATTTCTGAAATCTGGAACTATATCCTGGATTTGTGATATTGATCATCATCTGTAGGTTGTGGTCTGGGCTTTTGCCACGTATTGGATATTTGAAAGCTCAAAACCCACCATAGGCATAGGATTTGATTGGGTCTCCACCAAAAATAAGCATCAATTCTTGATTTTCCACCATCCGGTTTATGCATTGAAGTTCAATAAAACTTTTCTCCACCCATCAAACATTGGTAGCAACCACACATAGTTGAGAATTTTGGTCACTCTTAAAAGAGGATAATGACTGATACATATGCCAATAATGACACAGACTTGCGAATCACTATTGACACCTTCAATCTGCTAAACTTTTAAGACCCTTAATCCAATTTACTACAATGGTCACCCTTGAGTCAATGATGATGCAGAGTCCTCTTAGAACTGCTTCAACCACCAAGCAGAATGTGGTACAGTTTTCCTTGCCAGTTCTGAATGAAAACGTATGCATCTCTTGTTAGGTTTGTGCTGGTTGGGTCTCTCTTAAGCCGTGTTTGAAAATCCTTAGCCTGTGTTTATTTGCACTGCAAATTGAACCAGATACAAATGTTGCACTCAGTTTAGTTTTGCATTTGTTTATTTGTAACTATGATTTGCACTTCTTCCTGATACAAATTTTTTTTTGTTCTCATTTGCACCGATTGGAAGTGCAAATTTTTTTTCACAAAAACTGATGCAAACTTTGCGCCACTTCTCTCCTACATCAACTTTCTCTCATATAAAGTGAGATAACATCATAATGCTTCTTATCTCATCTTAGATGAATAGCCCTCTTCCTACCTTCATTCTCTTTCAAATCGGTTGATGGTATACATAATTTTACTTGTCACTAAGAAATAAAGATAAAGCCAAATCTGAACCGAATATACAAGTAGAAATGAAATTTACACCGCCAACAAACTGAGCTTTAAGAACTTTGCCTAATTTTCTATTTCTCTCTTATTTTCTGTTAAATGAAACATAAGGATATATGTGAAAATATGGAGGCGAAAGAGATGATAGAGAAAGATGGCTGAATATGTGGTGGTTAAGTGAAAAGAGAAGAATATGAATCTTTCAAAGGCTCTAGAATATTAAAGTAACTAATCTATTCAAAAGAAGATAACGGGATGATGGAGAATCCAATGACACTGTCGTGTCCAAACTCAACCAGTGGTAATGAATTTATGTCTCCAGGAAGTGAAAGAAGGGACATTACATAAATGATGCTTATCCACCTTCGGACAGGTGATTTCAGTAGGTAAAGAGTTTGACTTGAGACAAGGGAACAAATTCATATATGAAGCAGCGTTGTCAGGCCCAGATTGGCTCTGATGGTCCAAGTGGTGATCCACTGAGAAAAATAGTGAATTGGGTGGTCTGACAACTTCCCTTCCAATAAGTCATGGGGAGTAAGAAATTCAGACCAATTGACCACTATAGGCTTATCTATATCAGCCAATGGTAAAGTCAAAGTAAGAATTTACAAGGCAGCAGAAAATTGAGGTTAGCCTGGGCCTAGGCCCAAATTAAGCCCTAGAAAGTAAAGACTAAAAACCATTAAGCTTTGTTTTATTGAGTATGATTTCAAAAAGAAAAAATAAGCTTTCATTGGTTTGGAGAGGACACAGACTGGTCCAAACTTGATTAGTCTTCAGAATAGTTTGACTCTATCTTATGTTTTAATCTAGAACAATAGGTAGACACTCTAGCTAGCTCATAAATGTCTATCCAATAGAGATGCAACTTAGGCGGGCTTGGGTTGGGATTTTGTCAAATTTTGGATAGACCCGGCCCTGAAATCTGGAAGTAGTAATAAAACCCTGTTCTGAAGTCTGAAGGACCTCATTTTGCATTGCCTATGACCAGGCCTACTGTGCATTGCCTCACCACGCAATGCAGTAGAAGAGGAATCAATGGAATCTACCACCAAATTGTGGACGCCAATTCAAGAGGAGCAAATTTGTTTTGAATTTCTTGCAGAGGAAATGAAGCAGCCATTGGAAGTAATGACTTGCACCTTCAACATCTTTTGGATGAAATATTACAAGGTTAACATTTATTTTTTCATGGCAGGATTGTAACTATGGTACGGTGGATCGTAATATTGCATGTTATATTTGATCATTTAAAAACAAAATCCACTAAATCACGGAGAGATGTTTCACTCTCACTGAACCATCCATGTCCAGGGATCATGAGCTAAAACATCACCTTCTCCTAAGAGCTAAAACTAGGAGAGCTAGCTAGCTCCAAAAATTATTTAAAAACCGATCGACCAGGTCGTCTACTTTCCAAATCCGGCCAGCCGATGTCTATGGAGTGATCTCTTAGCCTTAGCTAGTTAGGGTAGGGACCCTTTGAAGTTTGAATGAATAATATTGGTGGATCCAGATTCCAGACCTTATGCATACCGATGTTTCAGGGGAAAGCCCCTGAGAGTCACAGCTTCACACTCAACCATACAAAATTATTAAAAAAAAAAACAAAAGCTCCTATTTGAATTTTAGGTGGTGATTGAAAATTTTAGGATCTAACATTCCATCTTGTGGGACATTTGTCATTGAACCATCAGGTGGAACCAGTCTTGATGACAGGGAATCAAAAAACTGTTAATTAGAGACGTTTTCTGTTTACAGATCTATTATATCATTGGGCTAAACAAAGTATAAATACAAGGGGCCCATTTTGGATTGGATTAGTCATTACTCGTTAGCGTGGTGAAACGGTCGTCAACCCACCCATCTGGGTCATTGTTTCTTCTTAGACCTGTGATCTGATCGAATACAGGTATGTATGTCATCAGTTGCTATTTACTCATCTGGACTACTTCAAAGGTACAATTGAATTAATCCATCATTATTTTCTTGGAAAAGCGTAATTATATAATTAAGACCTGCATGAACAGCCACCATTAATTTATCTTCTCGTTTCCATTCAAGACCGGATAAAGTTATCTCCTTTTTATCTTTAATAATCTGCAGACAGAGAGACAGACAGAGAGAGAGAGAGGGTGGGATAATATAATTAGACAATGGCGGATGAAATAGAAATCACAAAGTTGGAAGAAGGTTCATATAGTCCTTCAGTCGGCGGCCACAAGATCCCTGAGTTTTGCGCATCAGGGGCTGTCGTAAGCCTCATACAAAAGGTATTTACATTATATTAATAAGATGATGATACAATTTTTGAAAAGCAAAGAAAACTAGCTAGAAAAGGTTACGTACGTATATCAGTCTGTATAGTAGTTGTACTGTGCCTGCATGCATAGCTTTCTTTTTCTCTCTAAAATGTAAAATCTAATTAGTTTTTGAATCATGCATGCAATTAATTAAGCCGATCGATCGACTGAGTTATCATGCATCATCTTTGTCTCATCTTTAGGTGATAGCAGAAGTTATTGGGACTTATTTTCTTATATTCGCCGGCTGCGGGGCTGTGGCCATCAATAAGATATATGGGTCTATCTCATTTCCAGGGATGTGTGTGGCATGGGGTTTGATAGTTATGGTGATGATTTACGCCGTCGGACATATCTCCGGCGGCCATTTCAACCCAGCAGTCACCATCACTTTCGCCATCTTTCGAGGCTTCCCTTGGGCACAGGTCCTCACTTTCTCTTTCATTCTCTTAATTTCCCTTTTCCTTCTTATTGGCTGCTTCAGGATTGATTTGGGCAAACAAAATACAAGACAATATCTGCAAACAGCAACCCATTTTAAAGGTTTAGCAGTTGAGACTTCTTCAGGCATGTTAGAGCTTCTAAAACTTCTTAAAGCTAAGAGGTTTCCTTTGGGGGAGTTTGTTGCAATTTAACCTCTTCAGTCTTCACAGATTATATGAACCATTTATTAATCAAGACAATCGGATTTGATCCAATTAAGGGTGTCAATGGACCGGTTTTGGATTGGATCCCGCCCAGTCCAAACTCAATTTGGACGGATTGAACAGACCAACAAGATATATTGGATTGGACCAATCTGGACCAAAATATTTATTATATTGGATTGGACCTGGTCCGTCCATAACAAATTTATATTTGATTGGATTGGATTAACCCAATATATAGTCCATTGATATAAGATAAGAATATATGTGTCAATGGACCGGGTTTGGGTTGAAACCAATCTAAATCAAAATGAATTTGAATAGATCGGATGGTCTAGACATTGAATTGGACCGGTCCAAATTGGTCCAAAACATTTATTGGCTTGGATTAGACCTGGTCCATTTATAATGGACTCACATTGGACTGGACCAGATTGGACCAAATCTAATCTAATTGACACCCCTAGATCCAATCACACCTGATTATACTTAACATCTATAATTACTTAAGATAATAACAACTTAGAACTTCGTTTTTGATAATATAACCTTTGAAAGTAAAATCATCATCCAAGCCTTATCCCAATTATATATGTGAGTGCGCTACATAAATCCTGTTTATCGGTTCTATGAAATTTAAAAACAAGTGTTTTTAATTAAAAATGAATATTTTATATAATACCTATGAAATTTACCTTTTAAACACTAAAAACAAAAAGACATTTATATATAATTGGTCCGGGTCTTAATTGATTTGACTAAGGTTTTTAAAATCGAACCGGACAATGAACCAGTCAGGGATCCATTTCCCGGGTCGAATGGTTTGACCAAGGTTTTTAAAATCGAATCAAACAATGAACCAGTCAGCGGTCTGTTTCCCGGGTCGAACGGTCTGATCGTTCAAACCGAACAGATGGCCCATTTTAACAAAAAAATTAAAAAACCATCAAAACCGTTGGACGGTTTAACAGTCCAAGTCAGCGGTTTACTGACCCAATCAACTGTTTTTGACAAAATAACAATTCTAGGTAAAATGAAACCGATCACCTGACCGGTTCCCAGTTTTTCCGATCCGATTTTCAAAATCATGGGTTCGACAATAAGAAAAATTATTAATCAGGACGGACAACAAAACAAACCCCAGAGCAAGAACCAACAACAAACCCGACCATTGACATCTCTAAAACGGGATGTCTACTCCGTGTATCTTTATTCTATATGAACAATTAAGCAATCTAATTATACGTGCAGGTGCCCATTTACGTTATGGCTCAGGTAGTAGGATCAACATTTGGAAGTGCCACATTGTATCTGCTGTTTCCCGTAAAACCTAAGGATTATTTCGGAACTCTTCCTGTAGGATCTGACATCCAATCTCTGGTCCTTGAGATTATCATTAGCTACCTCTTGATGTTTGTCATCTCAGGTGTTGCGACTGATGACAGAGCGGTCAGTACAGTAGCTCTAAAGCTTTAGTAGTTAACAGAATCTTTTATTCATCTTTTTATCATTTTCAGTTGGGTTAGAGTTTATTGGCAAGAACAAATTAATTTTGGATTCATGCATGCTTAATTAGAAACATAAGTTTCAGTATCACGAAAAAATCTGTTTGGATCTAACTTCTTGGAAAGGAATTAAAGTTTAGTCACAGCAAATTTAGTTTCTCTTAAATTAAGCTTAAATTTTAATAAGAGACCCTCTAAGCTTTTTTTCGATCTTCTACGTATACTTTTTTTTTTTCTTATGAAATTCTTTTTTGCAGATTGGAGAACTTGCAGGGATAGCAATCGGAATGACAATACTATTAAATGTCGTTATTGCTGGGTAATTCAATTCATTAATTCTCATTCTCTAAGCACTTTAATTAGTAGTTAAAAAGTCATACATACATACATACATATATATATATATATATAGCACTTAGATTTATACTTCATTAGCATAAATCTACTGTCCATTTAATTTGCAGGCCGGTATCTGGAGCATCAATGAACCCTGCTAGGAGTCTTGGACCTGCCATTGTTATGCACCAATATAAGTCTATCTGGGTTTACATAGTGGGGCCAATTGTTGGCACTATTGCTGGAGCTTTTTCCTATAATTTAATAAGGTTCACAGACAAACCTCTGCACGAGCTAACCAGAACTGGATCATTGCTCAGGAGTATGAGAAAGTAATAGCTATTACTATTAGGTAGGTTTAATATATCGATTGCTCTTAAGGCACAGTTTGAAAGGAATACAAATGTAAATATGTAAAGTGCAAAACCTTATATTTTATATTATTTTTCATGTATTTGTAGTGTCTATATTTGCATTTGAACTCTTTTCAAACTGAGCCTAATACTCTATTTTCCACACAATCCTTCAATTATTCATTTCCTTTTTAATTTTAACATTTTCTTTATTTGGGTTTGCAGTGGTTATTGTTCATGCTCTTGCTTCCAATCACGGATGAATGCATCGTAGCTCAAACCACCTTGATCAGCTCCATGGGAGATGGATGCATTATTCTCCATGTATTAGCTAGTCCAATTTATTTGTGCATTCAGACGAATATCCTACTATGGGCCCGGCCAATCAGGAACTTGGGTTGGGTTACCATGAAATAACCTAAACAATGTAGCTTGGTTTAGGTATGAGGCCTTGGCCAACTTGACCCAATCCAAACTCTACATGTCTTCTTCATATTTGTATGTTCAACAATTTTAAAATTGAAGGCAAAAATTTTGTAATTGTGTGATATAGCAATATAACTTTGTTTAGAAGTGTAAATTGGACTGGATTTGGTCCAACCTGATCCAGTCCAATGTGAGTCCACTTACAAATGGACAGGACCCAATCCAATCCAAATCCAATACAAACCAAATCCAATCTAATCCATTAAAATGTAAATGGACTAGATTGGATCCAATCTAAACTGAATAAAATATCAAAAATTATATATAAAAAACAGAACATATAAAAATTACAAAAATATATTAAAATGAAGAAATCTGAAAATTACAAAAAAAGAAAATACCCTTTTGGCATTGAAAAAGCGCTTTTCTAAAAGTGCTTTCATAAAAGTACTTTGATAAAAGTTCTTTTGTAGAAGTACTTTCATAAAAGTGCTTTCTAGAAGTGCTTTCGTAAAAGTACTTATATAAAAATACTTCCATAGAAGTGTTTTTATAAAAGTACCTTCGTATAAGTGCTTTTGTAAAAGTACTTAAGTACTTTCGTAGAAGTGCTTCTGTAAAAATTCTTTTGTAAAATTACTTTCGTATAAGTGCTTTTATAAAAGTACTTTTGTAAAAGTTCTTTCAAAAAAGTACTTTTGTAAAAGTTCTTTTATAAAAGTACTTTCATAAAAGTGCTTTCGTAAAAGTACTTTCATAAAAGTGCTTTCATAAAAGTACTTATGTAAAAGTTCTTTTGTAAAAGTGCTATTATTGAAGTGCTTTCGTAAAAGTGTTAGTACAAAACTGCTTCTGTAACAGTGCTTTCATAAAAGTATTTTTGAAAAATGCTTTCGTATAAGTACTTTTCATAAAATTATTTTTATAAAAGTGCTTACGTAAAAGTACTTTCATAAAAGTGATTTTATGCCTGCTTCAGTTTTGATCGGTTTCAAATTGGACAAGAGTTTGGCCTCATAATCAGATTATTGAAAATTTGGTTTAGGTCCAATTCAGACCAATAAAAAATATGGACCAATTTATTTTGGATTAGCCCAATTCGATAATTATATGAACCGTCCAAATCTGATTTGATAAGGTTTGGATCAGATTGAATCTAACCCAAAACCGGTCGATTGACACCCTTAACTTTGTCTCGTATACATAGTAATCCTAAAATCAGTGAACTTGATCCTCTGATTTTATGTCTAAGAGATAAGAACATTTGATAAAATGAAGTGAGGAATCCGGTAGGATTGGGGCTCAACCATTCAACAACAAAGGTACAATTAGGGTTGACCTCAACCCAACCTAATCCAGTCAGATTTGCACCGTTAGCTCATAGGACCGCAACGTTGATGGGCAGGTCTGGGCTTTGGGCAAACCCAGGTCCAACTTTAAAATTCAAGCCTAGGGCTGAAGCCAATCCAACCTAAATTTGAACACTCTCAAGCATGGTTTTTAAAAACGAACTGGTCAGGGGTCCAGTTACCAGTTCGAGCGGTCTGGCCATTCGGCCCAAATGGCCGGCCGGTTTTGACGAAAAAATAAAAAAAAAATTAAAAATTTGAAAAACGGTTAAAACCGTTCAAACGGTTCGAATGGTTAATTGGCCGGTTTAGCGGTTTGCTGACCAAAATCAATGATTTTGGGGGAAAAAGCGGTTTTGGAGGAAAACAGAACCGGTCAAGTGACCGGTTCCCGGTTTTTCTGGTCTGACCGTCTGGTCCGGTCCGGTTTTGAAAACAGTGCTCTCAAGCCATGGACCAGCCTTGAGCTGGGCAGGTTTGTCAACTTGTATAAATAATAATTTGTGTCGTAAAAATAAATTAAATTTGATTTAAGTGGATGAACAGATGAGGTTTAAGGTTTAAATGCTTTCAAATGAGTTTGTTGACATTATATTTATATTATAAATCATATTTTTAACATGCAAACTCAATGAAGCCAAATTAAGATAAACTAACTCAGGGATACGTTAGGCCGGGCTTGGTCTAAGTCCGAGTTTTCAAACCTGGACCCAGCCCAAAGCCCAAAAATTTAAACGCAAGCTAGGAAAAGGTTGGGCTGTGTTGATCCAAATCCACTTAGGCCCGCACAAATGCAACTCTGACAGCTCAGTTGTTTATAGGATAGAGGCATGTTTTTAAAAACGAATCAGTGATCGAACCGGTCAGGGGTCCGGTTATCAGTTCAAATGGTTCAACTGTTCGGCCCGAACAGTTGGTCCGGTCTGACAAAAAAAATTAAAAAATTAAAAAATTGAAAAACAGTCAAAACCGTTTTAACGGTTAACCGGAAAGTTTAACGGTTTACTAACCAAAATCAACAGTTTTGGGGGAAAAAACAGTTTTTGAAGAAAAATAAAACCAGTCAAATGATCAATTCCCAGTTTTTCCAGTCTGATCCGATTTTGAAAACAGTGAATAGAGGTGATGAAGGAGATTTCCCCCAAAACCAAAAACAGTCAAAACCGTCTACGGATGCATTAGGACGGTTGTTCAAGGAGATTTTATGCCTTTTCACCTCTTAGAAATCGAAACTGAGAAGGTTTTTTTTTTTCAAATAGATATAGAAGCACATTTTTCTTTCTTTTTTAATTATATATGGCTTTTGAGTAAAAAAGCTGAAGCCATCTTTTTCTTCATTTGGCTTTTTCTTTTTTTTTCATGCATCTAATTCATTTTACTTCAAAAATAAAAATATATAGTGAGATTGGTCCTACTCTAGCTTTCATATTCCATTGTTTCCTAATTTAAAGTCAGTTATATATGGTCAAATACAAACCACTCTAGTTCTCACCACAATCTCACACGTACATCTTATTCCTCTCCTTTACCACACGTGCTTATTTATATTTAAATTAAATCATTAGAAATACTAGGTGACCCATGTAATGCACGGGCTGCTTTTTATAAGTGTATTTTAAAGGACAAATGAAATAATAGTGATTTAACAAAGTTTTTATATATTTCTAGTTCTTTTATATGTAAAATAATAGAAAAAATATTTTTTTTCCTTTTTAGTTATTGAGTTTCAAACGTATTCCTTTTTATATAGTCAGAAAATATGCTTAACATGAGATCAATAACCAAAGGCTCATGTTAAGTGCTTTTTATTGTTGAACTAGAAGAATCCATGAAACAAATTTATATTAAATTAATAAAAGAATAGAGAAAAACCTAATAACCAATAGAAAGGATAAAGGGTTTCTTTAGACTTTTATATATAAGAAGAAAATTGTTCATCCCATGTATTGGTGGGCAAATTTGGTTTTGGCATTAGTTTGGGTCAAAATTATGGTTCATATTTAGGTGGACCCATAACCTAACCCATTCCATCTAATTAATACTCCTACTTTATTATATAGAACCGACAAGGATTAAAAGAAATCTAAGAGGAAAAGAGGGAAAAGAAATCTAACCCAATCCATCTAATTAAACTATTAAAGTGTGTGTGGGTGTGTGGGTGAGAGGGGGGGGGAGGGTATTATTAGAGAGTGAATATGCACATGTGTGTGTTCACCCCATGAGGGTTTTAATTTTGTCCTATTATAATTTTACTGATTTCATTTAGAAATAAATATGCACATGTGCGAGAAAGGAGAGTAGGAGAAGGCACATGTGAGCTTTGTGGTGAGAGGACCCCACCTCCCCTCTTTCCTCTTTTGTAGTCAAAATTTAAACCCTCATTTCTTAAATCTCTCTCTCTCTCTCTCTCTCTCTCCTTAATAGTCAATGTTTGTAACATCTCCCCTCCCCATCAAGGCTCAATTTGGGAAAAGTGCAAATGTAGGGTTTAGAAGTACCATTTACAAGGTTTTTGTTGCATTGAACATATTTGTATTTGCAATCCTCTCAAACCGTGCATAAATCCCTCTTTTCCTCTTAAATATCTATTAATCCCTTTTGTCTCCCTCTAAAGTAAGGGTGTAAATTTGATGGATCGGGTTAGGTTAAAGGCCAACCTAAATATGAACCTTAGCTTGGACCAAAATTAATGTCAAAAACCCCAAATTTATCCACTAGTACACGGGGTCAACCAATCTTCTTCTTATATAAGAGATTAAAGAAACCATTGCTTATTTGCATGGGTTATCAAGTTTTTTTCTGTTTTTGTTAATTTAATTTAATGTAGATTTGTTTCATGGATTATTTTCGTCAGTTTAATTTTAAAATTATTATTTTTTAACTTGATTATTAATTTCATGCTAAAGCTCGTTTTATAAATACATTGTTCTGAAATTGGAGGAGACAAGTGATTTATCACAAGGTAAAGGGAGGGGCAATAAGAGCCAAAGGCAGGGCAAAAAGGAAATGGATTAAACTTGTGAGAAATTACTTAAAGGGACGGCAAATTAACAATAAATATGCTATTGAAAAGGATGAAATCGCAAAAACACACTTGACAAATTAGGATGTGCAGCTGTCGACCTATCCCACTGTACAATATTAAACAAAGCATGCCTAATATTATTTTTGGGGGGGTCCAAATCAGGTAACTAATTTGAGGGATTTCCACTGCTTCCAAATTTACAAAAATGCTCAACCCGATAAGCACAAGTTGCATTCACTGATCAATGACTAAGTTTATTCGGGCTATACAACAACCAACTACACTTTAAGTATCACGGTGTAACCTGACCCAAAACGTAACAGTGATCACCAATTAATTATCACACAAAATCCATATTAGCCAATGGGATTTTGTTTCTTATTGACCAAGATATCTAAGCTTTTTTTTTCAGATTTATCTAGGGTCTATGGAAAATTTATTTTCCTTGGATATGGGTAAATGATACTCGTCTTCTAGGTCAATGATTAACTTTCCCACTTAGGGTGAAAGTTGTCAATATTTGAATGGAACAAAATTATCCTTTTTAATAATAATTTTTTATCACTAAAATGATCATTATCTTATTTACTTGGGAAATAAAAGAACATCGGTAAATGAATGCACTTACTTGGATAAATAACTTTCCAAAAAGCAACAGGACTTTAGTGGAATATAAAATTACATTTTGTGAAATGTGAACCAATGAAAATTAAGTAGATCTTTTCTTAACTTATTAATTAAAAGCTTAATTATGGGTCATAATGATTCATAATTACTGCACTATAATTGGAATCATCACTCTTACAAAAATGTTGGTTATTACCCACTTGAGGGCTTTTTGGTAAATACATCAATGAATAGGGCTGCAAATGGATGAATTGAATTTGGTTAAAGGTATATCTGATTTGATTTGATAAGAAATTTCACTTGTCTTGATACAATAAGAATCCGTGGCACTTTTAAGATTATAATTTGAATTCGAATTGATTATCTTATCAAATATCTAATTCGATTTGGCTAGTAGTAAAAGAAAACTTTTTTTTCTGTGCTATAAAGTAAAAAAAGCTTGATGATATAATAATATAATAATATATAATATTTCACAATTAATGGATCAGATCAGAACTTATCAGTTCGAATTGGGGGTATATCTGACTTCAACCCAATAACTTAATCGATCCAATTTCCTGATCAAATTTGATTTGTTAAGATGAAAAAGGGATATATATATCTGAGAAGAGGACAGTAACAGTTTGGTAAATAGAAATGGCTACAGTGTTGTGTTGTACATTATATAAAGAATCAACCCACTTTTAAATGGATCCCACGAAGAGATCAGCTGGGCCAAATAATGAAGCAGCTTTTCCTGAATGGTGGAATGAAGTTCTGTCACTACTCTTAAAAGGAGCAAAACAAAATGTATGAATCAGATGGCTGAGTGTCTATCCCATCATGCAAGCTGTTTAGTCTGAGTACTCTCTTAAGGTTGGATCCACATCCACCTAGGAAGGGGTCCAAAGAGCCCGGATCTTCTGGTTACCTTGGATCAATTGCCGGATTTCCAATAAGAATGTACCTTGGAGCATGTAAGTACAAACTGTCCTATAAATTCAGAACATGGTTCATGCTCACATGCTACAAGATGCATTCCTATTGGGAATCCAACAATTAATACACCCAGCTAACAGGTAACCTGACGCCCATCCACAAGTTGTTAACTTGAGATTTACTCTCTCTCTCTCTCTCAAAATAACATGGCCCCCCAAGGCAGGACTGTGAACAATAATTAATAATTCCTACTCTGCATTGATGCATGTTAGGTTAGGTAAGGAAGGGTCCCCCATTCCACACCCTTCAATAATCCATCACTATTTTTAAGATAGATGATGATGAACCTTCATTCTAGGCTCAGATGAGGGAGCTAGGGAACCATGGCATCAGTTGGACCAATTGATGAGTTTCAAAGCTGCAAGGGAGTTGACTGGATCTTGGATTCTAGTTATGTTTGATCGCATGACAAGAGTCTCAGGGAGACCTTTTATCTGCTAAATCTTCTATTTCCTTTACATCATTCTTTAAAGTTTAAACAATTAATACAATTTTGAGACGTTAATTCCCTCAAAAACCAGCACAACAAAAGAAGCAAAAATGGGTTCAGTGGCTACTCTGGTCTGCTCCACTACTCCATCCATTCAAGTTCAAAGTTCAAAGTTCAACCTTCAACCCATGAGATTTAATTGTAGTCCCCCTAAAATTCAGGGCGAAGAAAGCAACACGTTAGCCTCTCTGCTTGGGCTGGGCCCCCAACAGTGATATTGCTACCACGTGAAGGATTTGAGGGTCCTCTTCTTCACCTTTTTCTTAAATGGCTCCAAATATCAAATATTTACCGACTCCCATCATGTAGAGTCGGCATCACTCCAGTCTTCTTTTATCTTTTAAGTTTTTATTGAGGTTATATCCTCAATTAAATCATGATTTCTTTCTTTCTTTTTAATCCTGTTATTGTCTATATATGGACTCCCATTCTATTAAAAACTATATCAAAGACTTTACAGACATTTGGAAAAATTCTTTGCCCGTATCCGTATGAGAAGGGACCATTGGCCATCGCTTGGTTTAATGATAAAAATACCGAAGCCCGGGTTCACTGCAGGTTTAATTGAGAGAGTAGAGAAACCACGTTGTGTACAAAATAATAATAAATACTACTACCACTAATAATAAATACTAATACCACTAATAATAATACTACTAACCCATATTGATTATTGAATGAACCAACAAAATCAAAGTTTTTTTTTACCCATTAAAAATTTTTAAAATACGATATATCTGATGCGTGACATATCAAAATGGATTTCCAAAGGGGTCAGCACATGGCATCGGCATAGGTGAAGTATTTGGTGTATCTCCAACTCTGCTGGTCCGTCTCTATCAGTCCATATCATCAAATTGATGGCATATTCATGAGTAGGGGTGCAAATCATGCCGGCCGGTTTAAGGCCAATCCATCCTAAGTCCTAACCCAACCCAAGGTTTTAAACCCCCAGTCCAATCTAATCAACCCTAATCCTAACCCCACCTAAAATCCCTCAACCTTAACCCAAGGCAACCCGGCCTTTCTTTCATCCTCTTAAATTTTCATAAAATCTCTCACATTAACTTTCATGACCGTATAATAATGACCATATATTGACTAAGAAACCTCATGACCATATATTAACCATTTTTATTGGTATTTTTTAGTTGTTTTTTATGACACCAATAAAAAAAAATGGAATGTCTCAAATGATTAAAGTATATTATATATGAATTATGATAGATCTCTTATTAAAATATAAGATCATGGAATTAGTAATTAATAAAACATACAACTGTGGAATAAAAATCAATGAGACACCTAAGAAGATCAAGCCAATAACTTGATACATCATACATTAGGCACAACAACATAAAAGAAATTTAAAAGAACACAAAGTAAACAAAATACACTAATGCCCATAAATAAATTAAGGGGGTGTTGGACAATATGATTGATTTTGTTTTTTGACAACAACAAAAATTGTCACATTAACTAACTGCCACATTAAGTTTCAAGTGACAGTTGCTTTTGTTTTCAAAATCAAAACCAATTTTGTTCAACAACCTCTAAAAATTCAACTCCCATATATCCATAGCTATATGGATTATGATAATATTCAGGTCGATCGGGTCTAATTGCTTGAGAGGTATACCCTAATCCAATCCGAAATGAAGTTGGATCAGCAAAAAATAACCCTAATCCTAATTTGATTGTAAACCTGATCCTATCCAACCTGACTTCTTAGGTTTTGTATTGGATAGCCCGACTTGGATTGCAGCCCTATTCATGAGTATCATTGGATACTGAATTTGTCCAACATTCATGAGCATTTCTATGCATTTGTTTTTCAACTCTCTTTGTGACACCACTGCTTTGAACCTTAGGCTGTATTTGGTTTAAAAGAAAAAAAAAAGGGAAATGAAGAAAAACCTATACAAGGTAAGGTAGGTGATGCTGCACAATTTGGGCACTCTTAGTTGACTGTGACTTGGCTTCTAGCTGGAACGGACGACACCTGAGAGGAAGGAGAAGGTGAAGGGTTTCCGGGGGGTTTTCCCGGTGGGAACACTCCGATGGATAAGTTAGAACTGGAGAAATCTCAAGAAAAGAATAGAGAATAAGAGTGCTGAAAGTGCTTAAGCTTCAATACCTTTGCTTCGTGAGAGTTGGAGTTCTTATGTCGAAGCTCGGTCATACCTGGCATAACCGCCACTGCCCTAGCCGTTATTGTCAGGGCAGACGTGGCAGGTGCGGGTTGTTGCTACAGATTACTATCGCCAGGTACGGACTTAACTGACGTGCCATGCTTTTCAGAGATGGAAAAGAAAACGCCGCCTGGCAAGGGATCAGAGCCTTGCCACTGGGTCCGGCAGGTATGGATGTCAGGCAGGCCTCCCCACAGCCTGCCGAGCTACTATACACCAGACTACCTGGGGCAAGTTTGTCTCGGTACCGAGGTGCCAAGGTGCCTGCGTTGGAGGTGGTACTGCCCCGAGGTGCTTCTCCCTCGAGACACTTAGCCAAAAATCGGGGTGCTCCCTTCTTAGAAAGGGAGAGCTCAGAGCCCCTTAGGAATAGCTCGGGCCTCAAGGGGAGCTCGGGCCCTGGGAGGAGCTCGGGACCTCCCACACTTGGTGGGAGTCAAGGTTGGCCAGGTGTTAGTCCTCGGCGAGTCGCCTAACCCACTGAGTGGCCAGCGTTGGACTCAGTGTGTCTCTCCCGTCGAGTCACGGTTTTGCTGTCAGGCTGAGTTGTTCTTTGAGCCAGGTCACGCACACGTATCCCTGTGCTATGAGGTCGGGCCAAATCACCCTTCATCGGTAGGGAATGAAAAGGCCGTGTTTTGGTTGCATCCTTAATGTCTTCTAAGTGGGCAACAACTTCTTTAAATGATCATTTTCAATTGTCTTCTTCAAGAAATTAAAATTACAAACACTAGGGGAACATATATAAATGTCTAAAATTTCTCCTTCCATAAAACTTTCAAGGCAGACTAAGGGGGTATTGGACAACATATATATTGTTTTCATTGATGTTAGTTGTTTATGTTTTCAAAAACAAAACCATGCAACCATCTGATTGAACATCCCCAAACGTAGAGAATCTGTAAAAGGAAGATTTCTTTATTGGAGCTCCTAAAATCAAACCAAATTATGGCATAGACAACCTGTGAAAGGAAAGTTTCTTTACATGCATTGCTTACTTGAAGTTAGTTGTATAGATATCATTTACAATGGGTCCAGACATCATTTCCACAAAGCTTTCAAGCCAGACTAAGTGTAGATTCAATTTCATTCACACCCCCTCGCATGGGAAGGGCTTCTATTTTAAATATTTTTTTACATTCAAAACAAAAATTAAGGGTGCATTTGGTTTACAGTCCAAATTAGAATTAAAATCAGAATTGGAATGTTATATTCCTCCACCTGTTTGGTTTGGTTCCAACAGGAATTGGAATTGGAATAGGTTGGACTGGGATTTCTCATTCTTAAGAGAGGGGGAAGGATTGGGAATCGAATTCCGATTCTGTCCAACCAAATAGTTAATTCCAGACCCCCTATTCCCATAAACCAAATGGGCCCTAAGTGTGCCGACGCAAGTCTCATGTTAAATCTCTTTGGCTCTATTTATTTGTAGTGCACTTTCATTTGCACTAGTAAAAATGCATTAAGGCTCAGTTTGGTAGGAGTACAAATACAAATATGTTGTGTGCAAAACCTTAAATATTATATTATTTTCTATGCATTTGTACCACACATATTTGTATTTATACTCTTTCCAAACTGAGCTTAAGGCTGTGTTTGGTTGTAATACGAATTTATTTGCACTGATGCAAAATCATAGCAGTGTAAATTATGATTTATTTTTATTTAAAAATTTACCTTATTTTGTTTGATTGCAACACAAAATCAATTAAATCAAGACTTGAAGCAAAATAAAGTAACACCCAAAATAAAATAAAACCAGAATTTGTATTATTTTCATTTGCACTCTCATGCATTTGTACTAGTGCAAATAAAATTGCACTGCAACCAAACACAACCTAAAGTGCAAATAAAAAGAAAGAAAATTCTGATTCACTTTTACGTTGGGTTTTACCTTCAAAATTTATTTTACCTTTTATCTAAAAATCAAGCAAAGAGGCAAAAGCCCAAATAAAAGGAAATATAAATTTACATTCAAATTATTTGCACTCTCATACTTTTACATAATTACCTGCATACTAATCGTAATAAAATTTGAGCCTTAAAAACAACATCTGCCTCTTCTCTTTTCGGAACTTTTTAACATTACAAAGTTCCCTAGTTCCAATCATCAACCACTAAAAGCGACAACTAAGATTTGTGAAATCATAGCTGCATTTAAAAGATCAAACAATTAAAAAGCCTTCTTTTTAATATGTAACCAAAACTATTATTTTAATATTCAGATATTAAACAAATAATTATCAGGTTCTGACCATACATTCATATGCAAGTTCTATCAAACAAATAGGAGCTTGATATTCCAGTGGATTTACTTTTCCAGCTGCACTTGTAAGCCTTCCTGATGGGCCCAAGTAATGATGATTCACGGGCCTGGTAATGATAATAAACAACTTTTACAATGAAAACAAAGGTTAAGCCCATGCACTATTGGCCCAAGTAACCAAAACAGATTGTTGTTTGTTTTTAACAAAAGCTACTTGAAAGCTATGGCTTTTGGAAAAAGCTACTTAAACCCAAAATAGTTGGAATTATCACTCCTGATCTAGGCAAGGAATTGTTCCCACATCCCTACCCATGGAATATTAAGGTGGCATTCAATAGTGTGTAAATATTATGGACGAAACCATTTTGGTCTTATCTATGGTAAGATATAATGTTTTGCTATGCGTAGACGATCCCTGTCCACAAAATAGTGTGAACAGGAACGAGCCACACCTCAATTTATCGTCTATAGTATTTTCTCGTTGATGGGCCACATTATGGTGTTGACAGTTTGTAGGAAGGTTTCAATGTAACACATGGTCCAATTACTCCTCATTTTATTTAATCTTTTAATAATTTTTAAACTTTTAAATTTTTAATTTTTAATATTTTATTAATAAAATAATAATTTTTAATGTTAATTCTAGCACAAGTCCGACGTTTCTCCTTCTCTACTCTTTTTTCATTATTTAAATCTTAAATCTTAATATTTTTAATAATAAAATAATATTTTTTTAATTACTTAAAAAATGTAATTATTGCCTATATATTAATTTATTAATGCCATTTTCAATTTATTTATCATATAAAATACAAAAATTAAATATTTATGATCGATTGTGTAGATCTCCATAAAATGTATACGAGATACATGGAATTAAAAAATGTGGTATGGATCCATCCATAGTTCAAAAGAGTAATAGATTGTGGTAGGACGATGTAGATTGATCTCAGGTATAGTATAAACTAATCCATATCCACTAATATTACATAATTCCTCTTAAATGAGTGCATTGGGAATATATTGGGTGTGGGCAAAAGTTCCCGTGTGCCTCAATCATGTAAGGCTCTGATTGGGCACGTTGTCCTCTCGCTCATCACTGAGACAACCTACTTTACAACAGACGATGAGACGACAGAGAAGCGTAACGGGAGCTCCAAAGTCAGAGCCTCAGTGCAGCAAAAAGCCAAGTAAGCTAAAGATGAGAGAGAATATGGTTGCCACGTGGGCTCAACCTATTGATCCTAAGGTTGTCGATTGTCTGAAACGGTTACCGTTATAAATACCGGCTCAGGTTCCTTATCCGCATCTTCGATCAACATCAATCCATTTCAGCCGTACGATAGTTAGAAACATTAACGGCGATCTGACGATCATTGACGGAGGGGAAGCGAGCCGTTCTTCCCCAGATCAGGACAAGAGGAAGAGACAAGCAGGGAGCGGATCTGTTAAGCATCTTGGTAGTTTAGAAGTCTCGTCCCACATGATAGAAAAATCCATTATTTACAAGAAAATAAAAAAAAAAAAGAAATGAAAAACTCTGGCGGTATGGCTTCTTAGTTCAGTCCAACAAGCAGACTTAAGATTCCATTGTTGCTTGATCCCAAACGTTTTTCTCGAGTGCTCAGAAGCTCCTGAAGTTCTTTTATTCATACAGATCAAACGGAGCTCTTGCGATTGAGCTCTTTGTCGTCGGATATATTGAACTACAGAGTGTTTTTTCAGAGGTTTTCGTTTTGTTGTTGCTGCAATTCGCCACTAGAATTGTGGCTTGAAAGTTTTTAACTTTTTCGTTTCTGTCGATATTTACTTCCTATGCGAGAGCAATGTTCTTGATTCAAGACATTTGAAGGTATATTTCTAGGGAAATTATTTTATGCTGTAGTGAATTTTGTGTTTTTTTTTTTGTGGTACTTTGACTGATCTGCAGTATTCCGTACTTGAGTGATACTTGTCAGGTGAAGAGATGCGTTATTTAAGTTATTTTTTGAACTAAATAAGCTTCCCAATTCCTCTACTGAATCTTTTACCGTTCAATTTAGATTCATGGTCTTGTTTCATTTTCTATTGCTCTTGGAAATGGGAGAAGTATTGTTCATGCAATGGAAGATCTGTTATATCAAAGACTTGAAGTCTTTATTAAATAATTTGTTTAGTTAAAACGCTTCGACTAATAGGGTTGCTTATATCCTTAATTGCTGATTTTATGCATTGATAATAATTTTTTGAGGATGTAATGGTAAAACTGGTTTCTGAGGTAGAACGTAGAAATTTAATTTTCTGTCTTGAATGTACAGGTATTTCAGGGATGTGAGAATTGATTTGGTTTCTCATGGCTGGAGAATCCATTAGCTTTAAGGTTTGGTTTTGAGCTCATAAAGTAGAGGTCCAATAAGCATTTAGCTAACATTCTTCTTAAATTGGTCGATTTATTATTTATAGTCTAGATGTTGACGAACATATCATTTATCTGTAGAAAGAACTACCTTGTGGTACGATCTTGTTGAAACCATACAAATTTGATCTGATATAATCTTCACCGAGAGGTTTCATGATTACACTCAAGTTTTTATAGGTTGAAATTGGTTTATGAATTAGTGTTACACAACTATGTCTCTTCTTGTATTCTCTCTGTACAATATTTGCTTAAAAGACCAAATATGTATAGCCACAACTCACATGCAATCTAAAGTTATATTACTTTTCTTTCAAAACTGGCAGGCAGAATCTTTACATTCTGGTTCCATATCATTTGGAAGATTTGAAGGTGAATCCTTAGCATGGGAAAGGAGATCCTCCTTCTCACATAATAGATACCTTGAAGAGGTCGAGAAATGCTCAAAAGCTGGTTCTGTCACTCAGAAGAAAGCCTATTTTGAAGCACATTTTAAGAAGAAGGGTCTTCTGCTGCAGACTTCATCTGTATCCCAAAATGGAATGGAACATCAAACTAATGAAAATGATATCCTGGACCACATGAGTTACATGGAAGAATTAGAGCAGGGTAATGAAGGAAGCCATTTTGCTAATTATGATGAAATCTCACATAATTCAGATCAGCATGGAAAATATGATATTATGGGTTGTGAAATGGAGGTTGAGGACTTTTCACCTAAATTTGACATGGAACCCCCTCTCACTAATTCCCATGCAGTGTTGGATGATGATGACCAACTCATAGAACTTGATATAACACAGCAAAATCAATCTCTTAGTAATGCTGATGAACTGTTGGATGGTGATCAACAACAACATGCTGGAACACACCAAAGTGAATATGAGCTCACGGTGCTACCTTTGGTTAAGGATGAACCAGAAATGGAAGTAAAACATAATATTGCTGATGAAACAGAAAATATGGATGGAAAAAACACCAAACTATCCACAAGTAGTTGCATGGCAGGGAAAGCTGATACTTCCAGAGTGAAGAAACCACGAAGAACTTCTCCGAAGGTGAGAGTTCTCCAATGTAATGGTTCATAAATGGATTGCTGTTGATGTGCATGTCTTTCTTGTATGCTCACTTAGTTTGCTGTGTGTGCTCTGTAGAAATTTTGCTATAGTATTATAATCTCTATTATAGACTATTATGTCTGTCTTTTGGCTTACTCTTCTTGATATCTTGATCGTAGGTAAAGGCAGTAACAGAAACAAAATCTGCCAGACCCAAACCAAAGACTCAGATTCCAAGAAAGATTTCAAATGAATTATACAAGGATCCTGCAAAGAGCCCAAGGAGAATTGAAAGAGAGGCCCCAGTGAAGACTAAAACAGAGAAACGGTCTCCTCAAAAAGTTTCACCAGCTATTGGTTCTCAAACCAGAATTACAAAGCGAGAGGTAAGCATCTTAAAGTATGGCATTCCTTAACTTCTTTTGTTTATAGTATGTTCTGCAGCAATATATTTAATCACAGAGAAAGTCAAGGTTTTATGTAACCATCCCAAGCTTTCAACATTATTGAAAAGTGACTATTCATGTTTCATACTTCAAATAAGTTTAGTAAAATGTGAGTACATGGCTACATGCATCTATGAAACTATTGTATACCAAAGCAATGATAAGATAAATCAAGATAGGGTCTGTTACTGTTTGGTTCGCAGTAGGAATCGGAATAGGAACTGGAATCGAAATCCTTTGGAATCGGAATCGAAATGGTCTATTCCCATAGTCTGTTTGGTTCAGACAGGAATGGGAATGGGAATTGGAATCAGCAAGAATGGGATTTCATTCCCCAGGGAGGGGCAGGGAATGGCCATTCCAGCAGGAATGGGAATGGGATTCTGATTCCACCCAACCAAATGGTTGGAATCGGAATAGCCCATTCTGATTCCGATTCCAGACCCCTATTCCCGTGAACCAAACGGGGCCATACTGTCTTATTTGGAGTGTACACACTTTCCAGTTCTGGTTGATAAGTTTTTTGAATAATAACAATTACCAAAAGGTCCAAAACTTGAAGTTTGATTATTTTAGCAATTTTTTGTTATTGTTATAGACTGGTGTCCCCTCACAGTATCCTGGAAATTTGAAGGTGAAATCCAGTCAAGAAAATAAAAGGTATGAAGTCCTTTTCTCGATTGTCATACTATATCTGATATTCCTCAGTTAACTCTTAGGAACTTTTTATCTTGTTTTTGTTACAGTGAGAAAGATACAAGGATGAAGAAAGCAGGCAGTAAATCTCAACCTTATGCATCAGAGAAGGATGAATCCAAAGCACATCAGACTGCAAACAGGTTTGTGAATAGCATAATTGGGTTAAATACAATTACTTTTTTGGGACCTGAAAAACAATCATTGCCTTTTAATTTTGGATTTCTGGTCATGGTTTGGTTAATGTAGATCCAAGAAAACAGTAATTTCACCTAAGACATATGTAAAGTCTAGTCCTGCAGTCTTCAACTTCAAGTGTGATGAAAGAGCAGAAAAGAGGAAAGAGGCAAGCAGTTTTGTTCATTTCAAATTTGTTTTATCTATAATGGATTGAACCTGAAAGAATTACTCGTCCATTACTGCCCCTTATCTGAATCAGTTTTATATGAAGTTGGAGGAAAAAATGCTTGCTAAAGAGGTTGAAATGAACCAGATCCAAGCAAGAACACAGGTATGTAGAATGATCTCTTTTTAAATTTACATATTCGAACACAGTTAGAGCTAAGTTTTTTGACAAGGTGTAGTTTCTAATCTGGCTAACATAATGATGGTCATATTTATTTTGCACGCAAGTTTATTTCAATTATTATATATGTAAAAAAGAAAAGTCCTTTTTTATGATATTTGGATATTTGATTATGTCTGTATTCATGTCAATGATACAAATTCATAAAATAAAAAATAATACAGCATTTATCTCGTAATTTATATTATTAATTACATCCCCTGTATATAATTTTTCATTCATATCTCAGGTTGTTTTGTAAATAACATGAGCAAAATCATTTTCATAAGACATCTTATGTTATCTATATAAAGTACACGATTATGTGGGCACCCTGCCATCTCTATTTTATAAGATTTTTATGTATTTTGTCTTAGTGGTGTGTTCAGCCTTTCCTTTATTATATGACAGAGCCCATTGTATTAGTTACTGTATTTGTAGGAAGAGACAGAAGCTGAGATAAAACAATTTCGAAGAAGCCTCAACTTCAAGGCAACGCCCATGCCCTCTTTCTATCATGAAACACCTCCACTGAGTTCCAATGCCAAAAAGGTACATAGACTACTTTTATGTCCTGACGCATGCAATTCCTTTCTCATGAACAGAGATAAAGAAAATTCAAAGTGGTAAGAACAGTTATTTTCTCAAAAAGTTGGACATGTTGCACCCCAACAGGGCAATCAAAATTGACCATGTCACCCATTTAAGGAATCATACCATCAATTTAAAATAGTGCAAAAGCCCACTTTTCCATTGTTGTCATTCTTCTTGCTTATTCTACTTTCTTAGATATGGCTAGTAATGTTAACAGAAATACCAGTAAGGCTAGAGTTTTCTGACCTTGTGTTCTACTTGTCTTGGAAGTTACAACTCTAGCGGCAGATCAGGTTGATTTGTCAAGGTCGGTCATGCCTTGGTCAAACCTGAGCCAGACAATGTATGCTACATATGTTATAATATGATTCCTTTTCCCATAACAATGTAGCAACTTTGTCTCGGTGATGGAATAGTTGAGTGTGAATATATATAGCCAAAAAAAATTGTCCCTTTACACTATTAACAATTGCTTTTTGCTTATATGATATTGTAACCGTTAAATCAAGCTTTGTTGTTCTTGCAAACTAAACCCCATTTGACCAAAACAAGACTTGCGTTGGGCCACATTTAGCAAAGAGACTCTCCTTGTTCTTGAACTGTGAGTCTTAGGTTAATTCATGGGTTTGGCTCAGGTTGCAGTTCCAAAAAAATGTCCCTTTACATCATTAACAATTGCATTTTGCTTATATGATATTGTAACCATTAAACCATGTTTTATTGTTCTTGCAAACTAAACCCCATTTGACCAAAACAAGACCTGCGTTGGGTCACATTTAGCAAAGAGACTCTCCTTGTTCTTGCACTCTGAGTCTTAGGTTAATTCATGGGTTTGGCTCAGGTTGCAGTTCTAGCTATTCCATTTTTCTTTTTATTTTTGGTAATGTAGTTCTGGCTAAGGTACTGGAAATGAAGTTTATGTCCTATTAAAGACCTGATTTTTGTCTTGATGGAATCGTTTGTTCCTGTATGGAATTTTCCTGAAGAAAGAAAGTCTGACTAGACTAGAATTGTCTGAGCTTTCGGTATAAAAACTCAACTGGAGGACGAGGAGCGGGTTCCTCTCAAATCTCAATGAGAAGAATGAAGCATGCTGATTCTTCCATTGACTCAAAACAACTTCTACTTCCATGCAAGGCCCCAATCCTCAATTTAGGGAATTAGAGAACCATTTCTATTTAATTTCATGGTGTGCATTGGTAGTTCATGTGTTTTCATAATTCATTTATTAGCATTTAGAGTGTAATCTATTTGACCAGTTAAATGGACAAAATCATGCATGTATCTCACATTTGTCGCTCTAGCATTTAAGTATTTGATTCTATCTTACTTCTGAGCTATAATACCCGAATACCTCTACAAGGGTGCCATATCACATTGGATGTTTCAATTTCATATTCGTATCTGATTCCATATCCAGTGGCATCTAAGTACATTGCTTCTTAGAATTGTTACTCCACATACAGAGGTTTCTCTAATTATTTTGCACATTTAAAGTGCATAATTACTGGTAAAAGGAAAAAATGGAGAAGCTTTCTCATATGTGGGAGCATTATTAATCTCCTTTTCAGGGTGTGTCAAATGATGTAAAATCAACTAAACAGCGAGGTGAATCTACAAGTCCAGCGAGCAGGGCTGCATCCAGATCACAAGCATCTTCTGAGGCAGGAAACCAGAACCTTTCTGCTAGTGAATCTGCAAACATAACTGTTGATCAACAAGTCTCAGAGGAAATTAACTGTGCTATAACAGTACCCACTGAAACTGATGGTGGCTCTCCAAATTTATCAACCAATAGAAGCCATGCTCCACAAACTGGAAAGAGAATTGAGGCAGCAGGGAAGAAAGAGAAGGAGAAGAGTAAGCATCCCAATATACAGAAACAACTAGGATCAGAGACTAGTAAGGTGAAGAAAGAGAGAGTTGAGAGGAAGAGGGTAGATGGAAAAGTAGGGCAAAGTAGCAATGAGGTAGCAAGCAAAGAAACAAAAGGAGTTGACATGGGTATAGACATTGGCGGGTCAGGACTGAACAATCTAGCCGTTGGTGTTGCCTCCTAATTGCATCCCCAACTGTCACCATCTTACTTGCATTTATGTTTTACTTCATTCTTACATGTATCCAGTATGTAACATACATGTAGTTGTAGTTGGAATAGAAAAAACAATGGTGGCTGTTTCAGGGAATTCTTGAAATGGGAATCTCCCTTGCCACTTCTTTGGCTCCCTGAACTTCTCCATTATCCACAGAATCACAGATAATTATTTGGTTATTATAACTATAGAATAAGATACCAGGGCAATGCGATTCTATACCGAGTATGATGTAGCATTCACTGCTTTATGGGCCACCATAAAACAGGTAATTCGGTCTTGGTCCCTCCGGTGGCATTTTACATGAATGTTGTTTTTCTCGTTTCTACAAAATGCCACATCAGCAAAAGGAACAATAACATGTTTTTGATTTGAAAGTACGTTTTCTCAAAACAAAAAGAATCTATAGTTTGATTTTGAAAATAGCTTTGTTCAATAGTTTGTGAAATGAACAAAAATATGTTTTTTGACTTTTTGCAAAAAAAAAAAAAAGAAAGAAATGTTTTCACTTCCATAAATGAAAAATAAAGGTAAGAAAAGTGTACTAGTATCCATTTAATTAGAATCCGTATCTGTATTATATGTGTTAATAAAGCATTATGTCAAACCAACAGAGGAAACCTTGTCTTTTGACCCCATAAATTCAAGAAATCATTTTTCTTTTTTTTTTGTTTTTACCTTCATGGGGTAAAAAGGTATTGCACAACCAAGGAGGTGGTTTATTTGTTTTTTTAAATAATGTTTTAAAACCATTTATAGGGCCAAATTTTATTAAAATCACAAAAAAGAAACAAAAGTTAATTAGCATTACACCCCTCCCCTCTAAGTTGGCCAATCTTTGATTGCAGGATGTATCCCGTATGTTTGATCTGTGGTCTATGCACCAAGCATGGTTTTTAAAACCGAACCAGTCAGGGGTCTGGTTATTGGGTCGAATGGTCCAACAATTCGATCTGAATTATCGGCCTGTTTTGATAAAAAAATAAAAAATAAAAATTGAAAAATGATCAAAACCGTTCGAACAATTAACCGGCTGATTAGCGATTTGTTAACCAAAATCAACAATTTTGAGGAAAAACAGAATCGATCAGATGACCGATTCCCGGTTTTTCCAATCCGGTTCGGTTTTGAAAACCATGGCACTAAGCATCCAATTAATTGGACAAGCATTGACATGTATGCATGCATGCCAGTTGATTATATAAATTTTGCATTTACATGCATCTCATTTTCTTTCTTTATTTTCCTGAGAGTTCTACGGAAACTTATTAGTAGCACCAGTCGAGTAAACAAGAAAATCGACAAAAGTAGCTGACACTCATAAAGTGTTGCTGGGTGCGTTGGCCCTTTTGCAAATCCAACGACGAAAATGCCCACTCAACTCTATATGGTTAATGGAATGACTAATATATTTGAAACCAAATCAGTGCTTAGGTGTCATAACGAACCGAATCAATCGATTAATCGGTCAACGGGTTAATGAGTTATATTCACTGGTCGGTTTGATTAATTGAACTTTGATTTTTCGTTTTTTTATGAGCACCCTACCTATCACCCTAAGAAGGAGAATGTAAAAAGAAAAGAATGGTGACTGTCATTGGATGGTCCAATCCAAATATCCAATTGAAATTAAAAGTATACAGTTGCGGGAGGACAGGCGTTCACCGCAAAAGAGTAGATATTTACCAACGGACCTAATCCATTACTAAAACACAATAAATTTATCGGTATATCTCTAAATCTATCCATCCGTAGGTATAAGCACCGTATCAATATGATTTTACTGATGGATTTGGTCTTTGCCAGTATAAATTTATGGCCTAAATATTAATAATAATGACAAATAACCATCGGTAAAGAAACAGAAAAAGCTTATTCAAAGATCTTTAATGACATATTGATGCAACTTATAGCAACAGAAATTGGGTTCATAATTTTTTCACCACAACAATCCGTCGTAAAAGTGTTGGTATTTTTTACAATAGTCTTAGAGGAAAATTTGAACCTTAGTGGAACCTTAAGAGACCATATTAGACTCCAGATTCTGTTGGGGCTTTGGCTAGTATTACACAAGCCATCCTCTAGGTTTTGTGGCTTCCAGGCGAGCTGATAACCAGATTTGACGCCATAGTTACCATCTTTGCTACAGGCGGAGATGGCTTGTCCTCCATACATTGTTGACAGAAAGAAATGGTTGTGATTGTAGCAATTTCCCCCCATAGTGAAGACTGAAGAGAGTTCCAAGCCAGAGAAGTCCCATTGCAAAGTATGCTGCTTTATAAGATTCGAGACTAGAATAGACATGCAAATCAGCGGGTAGCTTGGCAAGTGAGAATCCAAAGGTCTTCCCATATATTGAAAGACCTCTTTGAACCATCCAAAGGTCTTCAAGCCCAAGATGGCTTATGCCTAGTTTGGGCATGAAGGATTGAACTATTTGAGAAGTATATATATTCTTAATTAAGACGATCAAAGGGTGATATTAATGTTGGGTAAGAAGCCTCCGAGGTGTTTTGGCTAAGAGGGCTATGCTAAACTATTCACTAGGCATTTGGTGAATGCTATGTAAATTAGAGGAGTCAAGCTTTTGTGGCGGGAAAATGCTAAACCTTGGGGATGACAACTCTCTATTTTAGTTTCACCCATAGCGAGAGGAGTTTGGATCTGCCCCTCAACAGTAAGGATGCAACTTGGCCCGGGTTGGCCCAAACCCAACCTTAACCCAACCCAAAAAAGTTGGGTCAGGTTGATGTTTGGCTTAGGGTTAGGGTTGAAATTCATGAACCCGATTTTACTTTGGGTTGGGTTAGGGTTGACCCCTTAGCCAACCCGACTCAACTCAAACCCGACTCTCCTTTTTTCATGTCATTTTTTAAAGAACCAATGAGATGCTCTCCTTCCTCATACAAAATTATCTAAAACCTCTCTCTCTCACCCACATGTTCCCAACAATCTCCTCTCTCAAAATTTATCCTAAAGTACCTCCCCCACTTTATCCTAAATCATCTCCAATAATTTATCTCCTAATTTATCTACAATTTACTAGAGAATTTCTCTCCAAGTTATCTCTAATTCCTATTTATCATCTTTGCCACTTTTTATCTATATTTATGTAAAGAAAGTTTAAGTTAAAAAATTTAAGAATTATTTAAATATTTTAACAAATTATATAATAACTTTAAAATAGTTATTAAAAATATAAAAAAATAATTATAATATATTTAATAATATTCATATTATTAATAACTTTATATTTCTACAAAATTCATCATGAAATTATGTACTAACAATATAAATTACAATTTTCTAGATTATTCAAATTAAATGTTATTCAAATAATAGAAGTTAATTTCAATATTTCAATAACTAAATATCTTAAATTCAAATAAGGAGTATTTTTAAATATTTTATATATTATTTAAATATTTAAATAACTAAATATTTTAAATAATGAAATATTTAACATAACAATATTTTAAATAGTTAAAATAACGAAATTATGCAATAAAATAAAAAAAACCATAACATAATATTCAAATTAATAACAATTTAATATTTTTACAAAATTAATAATGATATTATGTAATAATAGTATAAACTCTAAAATATTTATTAAAAACAGAAGATAATTACAATAGATTTAATAAAATTCATACTATTAATAGTTTTATATTTTTACAAAATGCATCACGAAATTGTGTACTAACAATAAAAATTATGATTTTTCAGATTATTCAAATTAAATGTTATTAAAATAATAGAAATTTAATATTCAAAAATAAAATACTATTTCAATAACTAAATATCTTAAATAATACAATACAAAGATAGCTAAATAATTATATAGAAATATATTTAATTATGTAAATATTTTAAAAACTAAATATCTTAAATTAAAATTATGGGTATTTTTAAATATACTATATATTATTTAAATATATAAATAAATAAATATTTTAAATAACAGAATATTTAACACAAAAATATTTTAAATAGTTAAAATAACGAAATTGGGCAATAATATTAAAAAATCTTCAAATAAAATAAAATCATAACATAATAATCAAATTAATAATAATTTAATAATTTTACAAAATCAATATTGAAATTATATAATAATAGAATAAATTATAATTTTATAGATTATTAAAATCAATAAATAATTAAGATTATAAAATTTAAATAAGAATATTATTTAAATAACTAAATAATATTTTAAATAACCAATTTCACTTATATAAATTAATATTTCAAGAAAAATAACTTTCAAAAAAATAATATTCATTAATCTCTCTCTCTCTCTCTCTCTATATATATATATATTAAAACAAAGCGGTCAAGAAATTTTCTCCTTTTTAGAATTTTTTATTTTTTTATTCCATGTTATTCTTTTAAGAACCAATGAGATGCTCTCCTTCCCCAACAATCTCTTCTCCTAAAATTTATCTTAAACTACCTCCCCCACTTTCTCCTAAATCATCTCCAATTCCTATTTATCTCCTAACTTATCTCTAATCTAATAGAGAATTTCTCTCCAAATTATCTCTAATTCCTATTTATCCTCTTTGTCACCATCTATATCTTTCTAAAGAAATTTTAAACTAAAATCTTTTAAAATTATTTAAATATTTTAACAAATTATATAATAACTTTAAAATATTTACTAAAAACACAAAAAAATATAATAGTTTTAAAATATAATAGATTTAATAATATTCACATTACTAATAGTTTCAATAATTAAATATTCACATTCAATAATATTCAACACGAAATTATGTACTAACATTAAAAAAAAAAATATTATTTCAATATTTCAATAACTAAATATCTTAAATAACAAAATACTAAAACTAGCTAAATAATTAAATAAAAAGTATTTAATTATTTAAATATTTCAATAACTAAACATCTTAAATTCAAATAATGAGTATTTTCAAAATATTTTATATATTATTTAAATATTTAAATAAATAAATATTTTAGATAATGAAATATTTAACATAACTTTAATTTAATTAGTTAAAATAACAAAATAATGCAATCAAATAAAAAAAATCATAACATAATGTTCAAATTAATAATAATTTAATATTTTTACAAAATTAATAATGAAATTATGTAATAATTCTAT